AGATGGAGCAGCGTCTGTCTCCAAGTCTCTCCTCTGTGTCTTAACATTTAAAAGTACACCTATTTATACCTTAGGTGTCTCCATTTTAGGGTTGCCGTAGTTCATTTACTTTATTCATTTTAGGACCTCCCTTAATTTGGCAAACATACAAGGCCATAACAGAAGGGTGCATACGTCATGGAAATTTTCCTGACTTAGTTCAAGATGGCATCTTAAAGTCTGAATAGGTTATCTGTTGTTTATACTAAGTCGTAAGTGTACAGTCGTGGGAGATTCCCGGATTTGGGGAAGTTCCATTAACTTGGGGTTACCACAGTATATTGTGTACTGCAAGAGTCGTAGTATAGCCTTGAAGCTTGTTTATGCATTATTGTTATTGTAATTCGTCTGGGACAAAATGGCGCAAACATATTATGCACTGAGGTTATTGCTTAAAGAAACAGTTATGAAAAACAATATGTTCCATTTCTAACACCTTGTCAGTTTGCAATATCTCTTAAAGACAAAGTACACAGTTTAAGAAATACAACATTTCATTCTAAAACTTGTAATATTTGCATTTGCCCATAACACTACGATGATCTATATCTCTATATCTAGTACAATGGATTAACATTGTTCATTTTGGCTTTTATTATTGTTTTAAAAGTTTTTAAATTCTTTTTGGAATTACTGGAGGACAAAGTCTTAAATTAGAGGGGCAAAGGTTTAAAAATAATATCAGGTAGTATTACTTTACTGAGACGGAAGTGGATGCATGGAATAGCCTTCCAGCTGAAGTGGTAGAGGTTAACACAGTGAGGGAGTTTATGCATGCGTGGGATAGGCATAAGGCTATCCTAACTATAAGATAAGGCAAGGGACTAATGAAAGTATTTAGAAAATTAGGCAGACTAGATGGGCCCAATGGTTCTTATCTGCCGTCACTTTCTATGTTTCTATCTATGTAAAGAAAAAACATATGTGTACTATTAACCGCCTGTCTGCTATAAAATTCCCCATTTGAACTGGTATTCTAAGCATTTTGTTCAGGTGTTTTGTGTGTGTTTTAATTTTTACTATAATAATGATTTTGGTACTTATTAGTTATAACCCAGTCAGCCATGAGGTAATTTTCTTTAGTGATATATTGCAGACAGATAGGCTGTCACCACATAGAGAAAAACATCCAGTATAGAACAAGAATTGCTGCAGTATAATTAACAAGTACCTAATTTTAAATAGGTCAGTTTCCAACAAAGAAGCTGTAATTGAATTTCTTCAAAAGCATTGTGTCCAGTCATGAAACTGATGGGCAGTGCTTGAAAATCATTGGCCCTGATTATGTAGCGAGTTGACTTGGTACTTGTTTCAATGATTGGATAACAATGAATGCAGAAAACGATTGATGAAATCCCCAGGCTTTACAATATCTGCAGTGTTACTAAATCAGAAAGTCAGAGACTCTCATTCTGTTCAGTGGAAACTTAATTTAAAAGGACGCTATTTGCACCCAGACCACTTTATCTCATTGAAGTTGGCTGGGTGCACTGTCCTTGCCTCTTTAACCCTACAAATGAAAACATTGCAGTTTTAGAGAAAAGGCCTGCCTCTAGTGGCTGTCTCCTGCCCTTTCACAGAGTTTATCTCCATGAAATGACACTGGATGTCCTCACATTTTGCATGAGGACGTCCAGTGTCTTCTAAATCTCAACAGGAAAGCACTGATTCAATGATTTACTATGGGAAAGGCTTAACACGCACACAGCACTTTCCACACATGTGCATTAGGTTCCCTCTTAGTGCTGACGTTGGAGGGGTGGGTACGTTGTTAATGGGGCTGCAAGGGGTGGGGGGCAGAGACACACTATTGTGTTAGGAGTACAGCTTTGTATTACTAACACTATAGTGTTCCTTTAACTAGCAACTGCTATGTAGTAGTTTTCTAGATAAGTATTTCCAACGTAATGTAATTCGATTAATCACATCACAGGATGAATGGAATTGACGGCTAAGAGTATAGCAAATGTACCATTTTGGAATGGAGTTGTATATTGTAATTACCGTAAATACTCGAGTATAAGTTGACCCGAATATAAGTCGAGACCCCTAATTTTACCCCCAAAAAATGGGAAAACTTATTGACTCGAGTATAAGACTAGGGTGGGAAATGCAGCAGCTACTGGTACATTTCTAAATAAAATTAGATCCCCCAAAAATTATATTAATTGAATATTTATTTACAGTGTGTGTATATAATGAATGCAGTGTGTGTGTGTGTGTATATAATGCAGTGTTTGTATGAATGCAGTGTGTGTATGAATACAGTGTGTGTGTGTATGAGTGCAGTGTGTGTGATGCAGAGCCTTGGTGGGGGGGTGGGCATTTTTATTATTTTTTTTTAATAATTATTATTATTTATATTATATGTATTATTCATATTTTTTAAATTATATTATTATTTAAGAGCAGGCCCCCAACTCCCACCAGCCACAGCCAACAGAAGGTAAGAACCTGCTGGGTGGCTTAATTTTTTTAATGTGTGTGTTTGTGTGTATCTGTTTGTATGTGTGTAATGTGTGTGTATGTAGTGTAGGTATTTGTGTGTGTGTGTATCTGTGTGTTTGTATATGTAGTGTGTGTATCTGTATGTAATGTGGGTATCTGTGTGTTTGTATGTGTGTATATGTGTGTGTGTGTATCTATTTGTATGAGTGTAATGTGTGTGTATCTGTGTAGTGTGTATATCTGCATGTAGTGTGGGTATCTGTGTAATGTTTGTAGTGTGTGTTTGTATTTTTATATCTTTGTATGTGTAGTGTGTGTATTGTGTGTTTGTTTGTATCTGTGTAGTGTGTGTTTGTGTCTGTATGTGTGTAGTTTGTGTATACTGTATGTGTGTAATGTGTAGTGTGTGTATCTGTATGTCTGTGTATCTGCATGTGTGGCAGTGTGTGTATCTGTATGTGTCAGTGTTTGTATGTATGTCTGTGTATCTGCAGGCATATCAGTGTGTCTGTACATCTATGTGTGTGTCAGTATCTGCATGTGTGCCAGTTTTTGATACATATACTGACACATACAGTTGCACAAACACACTGATACACATGCAGATATACATACACACAAACACTGCCACACATGCAGATACATAGACAAATAGATACAATCACTGACACACATACAGATACATACACACAAATACAAACCCTGAAACACATGCATATACACAGACACAATGTATAGGTAAGTGTATTGGCTGCAGTGCACACACAGACACAAGCTACATCCCCAGCATACACACAGACACACGTTACATCGCCAGCACACACAGACATATACTAGATCCCCAGCACGCACACAGACAAACACCATTCCCAGTGTTGCAGGAGAAAGCCGCAGAAGCCACACACATAGAAATGGAAGCAGGTTCGTTCAGGAAGAAAAAGGTCTTTATTGTTACCGATCGGGTCTCAGATGAACTCCTGTTCTAAAAATGTCTTAGCCCAGAGCATAGTTTGCAAATGCCTTTCATTAACAATAACTCCTCCTATTCCTAGCTTCACCCTCACATACCCTTAGACCAATCAGTGAACAAGATATTCAGGATCACCTCATATGGGCAGACCGTATGATTCCTTTTAAGGACAAAGGAATGTGACTACAGTTGATGCACATGCTCAGTACATTGATGACAGTATCTTAGCTACATGTAACTAACTAACAGATACAACAAACACCTGTACTTGTATATTCCAAATGGAGATTTCAGGCCTACTAAATTTTGAACCATGTTGAAATCCCATCACACCAGCACACACACAGACACACACTTCATCCCTGGCACACACACACAGACACACTACATCCCCAACATACACACATAGAGACACTAACATTGCAGAAGCATTTATGTTGTTAGTTTTTAGGGGGAGGGGGCAGCATTTAATACTTGGATCCAGGCTACACAATGTCTTGGGCTGGCTCTGTCCTCCAGTGTCTAAAGTGCACTACAAATGCATGCAGAAATAAAGGACATTTAAACCCATACACAAGAGCTGCAGCAATGCCTAACATATGGGGAGCCCAATAGCTCCCAATATTGGAAGATATGGTATTGGGACAGGGGAATCACAAGCCTATGGGAATGTGCCACTGACAATCCAAAAGGGCAGGACTGTGTGTCTCCATAGCCCCTAACATTTCAAAAGGACATAGAGGGACAGTTTAATTTTAAGAATGACATTTATTTTTTAAGGGAGTGGGTTGGCAACAGGTGGGGCTGTTCTGAGAAATGCATGCAACTAAAATGTAAATTAGATCAAGAACAATGTATCTTATTTATACAGATTGATTTCAAAACACATTTATTGTAGTTTAACCCCTTAAGGACCAAACTTCTGGAATAAAAGGGAATCATGACATGTCACACGTCATGTGTCCTTAAGGGGTTATAGACACATTATGGTATTATTGCTTTGGAGCTCTGTTAATTCAGATTTGCCAATATAGAGCTTCTAGAAAAAGAGGGTCATTAGAATAGAAAAGAGGGAATAAGGGTGTGGGTTGGTAAATATGTTTAGCCTGGCATGAGTGCACACTACAGACAGCCTGCCTAACAGGTCCAATTAAAGGAGCTCATACCTAGAGCGCTTTTTCCCCGAAGTCACATGACATCAAATTACATTTTTAGTTTTTTAAATCGAGGTATGCAATATACTACAAATACAGCAACCTCCACTTATAAAAAACAAAAAACAAAAAAAAAACAGGCTTATACTGCAGCTTAGAACTAGTGAACGTAAACTGGACTTGCTTTCAGCTTTCCCTGTCCTCTTGCCCTTACCAGCTATGTCTGCCTTACTTTACTGCTAATCACGCACGTACGTCCGCTGCGCGATGAATTATGTACGCTGCACTAAACACTAAAGACAGCTCACCTACATAGTGGAGACAAAACCGCGTTTTTAACGTGCGGTGACAGTCTAGTGTTTAGAACGTTTGACCAGTTTCTAGCTCTCTGATTGGTCAAAGCCATCAGCGCTAAGACGACTCACACTTATCTCTTGGCTGGCTCCTTTGTGTATAAAGTGTTTATCGGTCTATTTATAGACACTGTCCCATCGCGACCTTAGGAAACGCTGCAGTCATTGGTTACTGATTCCTTTGTTCGTTTCCATCTCTTGCACATATAAAGACTGGTTTATATTTATTTTAAATCACAAACCTCGATCTAGCTGTACTTGTCATGACTGGTGGGAAGAAAAGCTCCAAAGAGAAGAAGAAGAGGAGGAGGTCAGTGTCTTGTGAAGGAGGGACACTGGTAGAAAAGAAGACAAGGAGTACAGAGACAATCCAGCAGGTACATCTGCTGTTAAAACTGTATTATGCCAGATGACCGAGATTTGGAAGTCTTGTTACTCCTGTTAATCTCTGCTGAAAGTCAGTTAGATTTGTAATGCATTTTATATGCAGTATATTAAAAAATATAAACAGTATCTTCAGTGTCTCAACATTTTCTGAAACCCCCAAACCCTTGTAGCTGCACCAGTGAGCTCTCTGTTTACACCAAGAGCCAGTTAGGATGTTCACATTGTTTCCAGCTGGCTAAATATACATAATGTCTGAGGAGCAGTTAATAATTTTTTTAATTTTTTTTTAGGTGTGACAGGTGGGTACTACATATTGTAAAATTGCTGTAAGATCAGTGCTGGTGTGTTTTATAAGGGATGTCAAATTAAAAGCGCACTCTAATGTTAAAACCGATATTCAGTTTTAGAATTTGGTGTGTTCCTTTAACCAATGCAAGACACCATCACCTTTCCCCAAATTAAATTAGTTAATACAGTTAAAATACCAGTTCATCAAGCATTGAACCCCACATTGTTGCTGCTCCTTTCTGACAGGTGGGCGAAAGTTTATTGGGAAAGTAGCCCAATAGAATGTTTGTTTATTGTTTACTAATGCTTTCCTATGAAAGCTGTTCTCTTCCTCGTAAAACATTTTTCAAGGGGAGCAAACCAGGAAAGCATCCTGGCTTTCAACTTGACTACCAAATTACCCATAATCAGTTCATGAACGTACTGATTTCTCTTGAATTTTGCACTTTTATGAATGGGGACAAGGGTACAGTCAGTTAACCCATTAACAAGCTGAAGTGCTTTAAGGGTTTGGAATGTCCTCTAATATTTTTATGAATAGCTAATACTCACATACTTTAAGTGCAGTTATTTAGCTACAACCATTTATCTGTACCTTATAGGTTACTGCTGCCTTAAAATGTGGTACTAAGCATCTCCATGGGATACTAGTTGGCTTGTATTCTGCCTTGTTGAGACAATAGAGTCCCTGTTAGGTAACTGGCAGCCTCATTCAGAGCAATGGTTATCCGGATTCCTCATTGGTCTACTCCTCGATATTGGGTTTGACTGAGTGGAGGCAATTAGAAGTCTGCAGAGGCTACAAGTACTTCTATTGAGGGGATCCTATCGTGCCAGGAAAACAAACCCGTTTTCCTGCAGTGCCCCCACTCCCACAGGGCTAAAGGGGTTAAAACCCCTTAAGTCACTTACCTGAATCCTGCACAGATGTCCCTCAGCGCTGTGTCAGGCTCCGCCTATGCTCTTCTCCAGTCGGCGGGGGAAACCTAATGTGCATGCGCAGCAATGGCCACTCTCGCATTAGGATTTCCCCATAGGAAAGCCTTAATAAATGCTTTCCTATGGGGGAAATCTGGCACTGGAGGTCCTCATGTAGAGGTCCTCATAAAGAGCCGAGGTAATCACAAACACTATTAGGATTATACTTAGTGTAATTCTAATATTCTTATCTAAAGCTAAAAGTTCCTGGTGTGAAATACATAATCCCCACGCTACCAACAGATCCTAATTTAGTGGACATTTCCTTGTAGTTCTATCCAGATTTGTTTTCTGTAGACGTTATTCCTACATATTAAAGTACAATTGTCACCATAAAACTATGTTTATTGTAATAATCATTTTACAAAGTTTTGAAATAAATAGATTTGTATAGGTACACAAAAAAAGAGTGAAAATTGTATACTAACTTTAGTATATGACAGGATGCTTCAGCCATATACAAGCACCTAGATGAAAGAATTATTCAATTAAATTTTTTTTTTTCAGGTGACCGTTGCCCATTAAGCATAGGGATTGAGGAAGCCTATATTTCCATTGATAACAGTGACACTATAAAGAACCATGGAAATTGCAATTGTATCTCTTTCGTTATTTGATGCATTGTACAGTTGCCATGATTTAAATACGTATTTTACATTAACAAAGGAATAGCTCTCTAGTGACGCTATGTAGAATCAACATTGTCTTTTTATATGCATTAATCCAGTCACATAGAAATAGCAAGGATAAATATGTGTATGAGCCCTGGCATTCTACTAACATTCCAGATTTGTTGAATACATAACTTTTTTTGAGTCACAATTTGTGTTAAGTGTTATATTTTGATGGCATATTCATATTGATAATGGCTTCCTTCAACTATATATTTTCCTCTATATGTGAGAACAAAAAAAAATATTTGGATTGTGCATTAATTAGGGTCATGCCTTTGAAGGAAGCCAGACAATGTTATTTTCAGTTTAAATATTGCCTAAAAAATATGTAGCTCAGCAAGTGCTCTATCTTCCATTATCAAAGTACCTCAGATAAAGAAATGTGTGTCTCTATTTCCTTAAAATAGTACTGGGAATGGTTTGTAAGTGAGGCTTAAAGGAACACTGTAAGCACCATAACCACTACAGTGTGCTGACTATGGTGTTAGGAATGCTGTGGCACCCCCACTATTTTAGAGTGCTTTGACTTCTTTCATGGTGTTCCCTGTCTCTTGGAGTTGAATCCTCCCTGTCTAAACTAAGCCCCGCCCCAGCAGTGCAGGTCTTCAACAGTGAGCTGGGTCTGCACTGCAGGACTTGGCTCAGCATAGTTAAAGGTGCACTTAAGGGTCAGGAACACACACATATTCCTGACCCTATAGAGTTAAAACCACGATCTGGTCCCCCCATGTCTCCCTAAATATAGTAATTCTTACTTGTATTCAAGTCTGGAGATGCTTACTTTGTCACTGTTTCCTTTAGATCTGCCCACTGACATCAGCAGAAGTGGTAGCCTGATCCAATCACAGTGCTTCCCCATAGGATTGGCTGAGACTGAGAAAGAGGCAGATCAGGGGCAGAGACAGCACAATTCAAACACAGCCCTGGCCAATCAGCATCTACTCATAGAGATGAATTGAATCAATGAATCTCTATGAGGAAAGTTAAGTGCCTGCATGCTGAGGGAGGAGATACTGAATGTCTGGATGCATTTTAGGCAGCTATGACCCAGGAAGGATCTCTAACAGCTATCTGAGGAGTAGCCAGTGAAGTTATCACTAGGCTGTAATGTAAACACGGCATTTTCTCTGAAAAGACAGGGCTTACAGCAAAAAGCCTGAAGGTCATGATTCTCCTCACTAGAACAAATTCAATAAGCTGTAGTTGTTCTGGTGACTACAGTGTCCCTTTAACTGAGTATTATACCAGGAGTTACCAACTCTCAGAGCAGAATGTGAATGCTCTGTATTGGCTAGGAGTGTTCCTTCTGTCAAAATTTAGATTAATTATTTTTTAATGAAAAATAAAATTTAGACTATATATGTTTTGAATCTGTTACAAATATTTATTTTTTGGGGTCAATGTAATATTCTTTTGTGAATTCTAGGAAACAGAAAGCACTTTTCAGCCTGCTGGGAGCAATGAGAATGATGCTGAGGATCTTAGTGACATAGAGGAAGGAGGGCTTGATCTGAATGTTCCCCTCAAACCAATTAGCTATTACATTTCCGACAAGAAAGAAATGCTTCAGCAGTGCTTCAGAGTGGTTGGTGAAAAGAAACTGCAGAAGATGCTTCCTGATCTATTAAAGGTATTAGTGCTTTGCTAGCTAAAATTAAACAGACACACTTGCTATTGGCATATAGTCAGTGAAATGTGCCGGTGTTCCACCACCTGCAGCAAACATTTGAAAGGCCTACCTTACCCTTGTGTTTGTGAGTGCTAGTGCTATTCGCACACATTCTTTCTCTTGGAGCCAATGCTCATTTTTACATATGTGGCACTTCTTTTTTAAAACAATACTGCTCATTGGAGAAGGGCCGGTGGAAGCTGTGGAGTTGGTAAACAAATCCTTTGACTCTGACTTTGAATATAGTAACCCGAAAATTCCTTATGACTTTGCAGCGTTGGCAAGTCTGTGGAGTTGGAATACTAAACCTCCAACTCCTCAATTTATAGTACTTCCCATTCCAACTCAGGCTGTCCATACTTGGTCTCGGTCTTGAGACTTTTGGAATTGGTTTAATATCTACAAAAATTCTTTCAAGTGAAGCCACCTACCCTCCTCAGCCTTTTAACAGCCAATGGCTGCAATCTGCACTTAAAGCTGTTAGCATAAGAAATGAAGAGTCAGGTTATTTTCCTTTCCATGTACTTTGAGACAGGTCCCTCCTGTCATAACTCAATCAAATTCCTACCATGCTTAATGAGCTGTAGGCAGGGCTTGAGTCCTGCAGAAACGCATGGAAACGGCCTTCCTGCACTTTTTCCAAAGCAGGACCGGCCCAGGGGGCGCAATGTCGCTGTGCTGCCTCATTTCTCCCAGTCCCCAGCAAAGTGCCGCCCACAATGCACTGTCTGCTGTTGGTGGTGTGATGGCTGTCAAGATGCAGGAGATGTGCCTGCTCACACTACTCTCCCCCGTGGTAATTTACTGAGGAGTGAAGCCTGCAGTGGGTGGGGCATTTTACATCACCTCCTGTCAGACCCTCCTAGAGGATTACCGAGCAGGGAGAGGTAAGAACATCTCTTTTCAGCTACTTACACCACCAACGGTGAGCAGCCATGTTTTATTTATTTTTTCATGAAATAATAATGTATCTAGCACAGAACTCCACAGAGCTAAATCTTATAGTTCATGTGGAGCTCTGTGTTTTATTGGTCCAACAGTTCCACCTCACTTCTATTCTTCTTATGCTTCCTCTCCCCGATCATTAGCAGCCATCAATCTCCTTCTCCCCCATTACTAGCAGCCATCCTCCACTCCCCATTACTAGCAGCCATCCATCCCTCACCCTATCACTAGCAGCCATCCTCCACTCCCCATTACTAGCAGCCATCCATCCCTTACCCGTATCACTAGCAGCCATCCTCCTCTCCCACATCACTAGCAGCCATCCCTCACTCACTCACCTCCATCACTAGCAGCCATCCCCTTCTCCTCCCATCACTAGCAGCCATCCCCTTCTCCTCCCATCACTAGCAGCCATCCCCTTCTCCTCCCATCACTAGCAGCCATCCCCTTCTCCTCCCATCACTAGCAGCCATCCCCTTCTCCCATCAATAGCAGCCATCCTCCTCTCGACTATCATTAGCAGCCATCTCTTCTCCCCACTAGCAGCCATCCTCCTCTTCCCATCACTAGCAGCCATCCTCCTCTTCCCATCACTAGCAGCCATCCTCCTCTTCCCATCACTAGCAGCCATCCCTCACTCACCCCTATCACTAGCAGCCATCACCTCCCCCCCCCCCATGACTAGCAGCTATCCCCTCATTCTCAATCACTAGCAGCCATCCTCCACTCCCCTATCACTAGCAACCATCCCCTTCTCCATCACTAACAGCCACACATTCTCCCCATCACTACCCGCCATTACTCTCACCCCTATCACTAACAGCAATCCTCCTCTCTCTGTTACTAGTAGCTATCATCCTCTCTCCCTCCCATCACTTGCAGCCATCCCCCTCTCTCCCTCCCATCACTAGCAGTATATGTCTGTTTATGTATGTCTCTGTATGCCTTTAGTCTGTTTGTCTCTGTATGACTGTGTGTAAATCTCTGTATGACTGCGTCCATATGTCTCTGTATAACTGTGTCTGTATGCCTTGTTCTGTATGACTGTATCTTTGTGTCACTGTATGACCGGTTGACTGTCTGTGTGTGCATGATTGGTTGCTTGTATGACTGTGTTTGTTTGTGTTCCTTTTATGACTATGTGCCTGTATGGTTGTGCCTTTGTGCATGTATGTATTTGTTCCTGTATATCTATGTCTGTATGGTTTGGGAGGGAAAAAGCCAGGCAAAGGGGCTCGTGGTGGGAGAAAGAGACACAGAAAGGGGCTAAGGGGAGAAAGAGACACACAAAGTGGCTGGGGGAAAGAAATAGACACAAAAGGGCTGTAAGGAGGAAAGAGACACACAAAAGGGGCTGATGAGGAAGTAAGAGAAACACAAAGGTTGTGGTAGGAAGAAAGAGTTATACAAAGGGCCTGGAGAGGGAACACAGAGTGTGCTGGGCCCCCGTGTGCAGCGGCTGGCTCTCTCCACCGGACCACCAGGCGATCTCCCCCCTCCCTGGCCAGGTAAGAAGCAAGGAAGGGGGAATAAAAAAATATATATATAAACACATAAATAAAAAAATGCTCCCCCCCTATCATCCTGTGCACACACGCATCATCCCGCACACACAATCTGCACTTACTACAAACACACTACATTCAATATACACACTCTGCATTCATTATACACACACTACATTCATTGTACACACTGCATTCACTACACACACTACATTCATTATACACACTGCACTCACTACAAACACACTACACACTCTGCATTCATTATGCACACTCTGCACTCACTACAAACACACTACATTCACTACACACACTACATTCATTGTACACACTGCACTCACTACACGCACTACATTCATTATACACACTCTGCACTCACTACAAACACACTACATTTATTATACACACTGCATTCATTATTCATACTCTGCAGTCACTACAAACACACTACATTCATTATACACACCCTGCACTGCACTATATGCATAGGAGTGTTAAAAAATTATTTTATTTTTTGTTAGGGGTGGGGGGGCGGGAATCTTGGGTGAGTTCCCACACTTTTTTCCCCAGGACTTGACCCCTGGCTGTAGGCATGCATTTGGATAAAGCTCTACTAAAAGGTTCCAGTGGTAAAGATTAACCAAAATATAGCAAATAATCAGAAACCATCCATACAAGTCTCCTTATTGTCCAATGTTTATTAAGTAAAATTAGGATAATGCAGTGGTATACATTTTGCATTATAAATGTGGCCGAGATTGGTCTGTTTGAGTACAAAGCAGAGAGAAGTTTTTTTTAGTCATATTGCTCCCAAACTTTTTGACACAAAAACAATGAGACAGTTTCCCGAGACTGTTGGCAGCATAACCACTACACTGACCTATAGTGTTTATGATGTTCAGATTGTTCCTTTTAAGTGTCCATTTTATTTTACATAGCCTCAGTTTCACACTACGGTTATGAGCTGATTCATCAATATAAGTGTTTTTTTTTTTCTTGCTAACTTTGTCTTCATAATTGTGAACTGCCTTATGTAATCTTTCAGTTCACATAAATATTGATGACTTTGCTAATGTTAAAATGCCTTTGAGATTTTGCATCTAAAATGTTCATACATATTAAAAACATATGTAATCTTGTTCAAATGCTTGTATTATAGGGTTATTCAATTGAGGAGATCAAACAGTTGTGTCTAGAGCAGCTGGAATTGGTATCAGAAAAGAGACTACTGAAAATCCTTGAAGGTAAGCTGTTGCAGACACTTTTTCGCTCTTGTCATTTTTCACCCCAATCGTCAAATTTTTAATTTAAAGTGACACTCTCATCACCACAACCACTACAGCTTAATATAGTTATAGTATACTGGAGTGGCCTGTGTTCCTAAAGTCCAGAGGACACCATAAAGTCCCTATAGGTTTGTATGACAAAATGTAAAACTACAATTTATTAAAGTATATCGGAAAGAACAAATATAAGTAACACACACAAAAACACACCACATATAGTCCCATAAAAAAGAGCTATTCCGCTCTGCAACACTGAATGGGTACGTAGGATGCAGGAGGCTGCTTGAATAAATCAAAAGTAGAGGGTAATAATGAACAGCAAAAAGGAAAGAATACACAAGCCTCTCTGGCCCGTAAAGCTGAAGGAGACAGTGATGATCCCTGGAACATATATGGCTACCTATTACGCCTGAGCATAGATAAACTCATAAGGTACTATAGTAAGGTATATTGAAACAAAGTTAGTATATAGGGATGTGGTGTCAGTATAACAGGTAAGCATCTCGACGGGACGCCTCATAATAATTCACATCTATTGTGTATCATTTTGTAAATAGGTATAATGTAACCACCCCTATGTAGAAATGTCTAAAGCATGAACACGGTTGTAATGTGATGTGATATACTGTGTAATCATTTAAATGACCCATTCTGTTCCACAGCAAAATCACAGATCACTTGGATTATTATAATGACAATACTTGGATAATGATGTAGAGAAAAAAAATGACAATAATAAGGCATACGATCAAGGGGTTATCTCTAAAGATGAATATGCCAGCATCTACATGAAGAATCCCACAATATCCACTTTCTATAGTCTCCCCAAGGCCCACCTCACTGCTAGACCAATAGTATCAGGTAGGAATCGACCGATTGTTCGGTACATTCGGCAACATCTGTATCAGCCCTAAGAGATACTGATATTGCCGATAATACATACTAGGACCGCCGGGCTCACTACAAGCCTGGCAGTACTGGAGGACCCGCAGCAAGTGCTTACTTACCTTCCCAGCAGCTCCATGTGTAAATCTTGCGAGTCCCGCGGCCGTCAGTGTTGCCACGGGTTACCATGGCAACACTCCGCGCGGGACACAGGCTGCGATATTTACACAGGGAGCTGAAGGGAGCCGCTTAGAAGGTAAGTAAGCACTTGCTGCGGGCACCCTCTGTACTTTCCATGCCACTGGACCACCAGGGAATGATATATTCCCCCCCCCCTCCCTGGCCAAGTAAGAAGCAGGGAGGGGGGGACTAAAAAATAATAATAATTAAATATTGTAAATAAAAAGTATTCCCTGCCCCCAAATTACATACCTACAGAAACACACACACTGCATTATATACACACACTGCATTATATACACACACTACACAAACATACTGTGTGTTTGTGTAGTGTGTTTATATAATGCAGTGTGTGTTTTTGTGTCGTGTGTGTGTGTGTGTGTGTGTATAGTGAATGCAGTGTGTGTGTTTATATAATACACACTGCATTATATACACACACTTTGCATTTAGTATATACACACACTGCATTCACTTTACGGTCACTACACACGCTGCATTCACTTTACACACACTGCATTCACTATACACACCCTATACAAACACACACTCTGCATTCACTGTACACATACTACACAAACACACTCTGCATTCATTATATACACACTACAAAAATACACACTGCATCCACTACACACACACTACACAAACACACACAGCTCCCCTGTCTAAACACACTGCATCCACTACATGTGGCATGTATATTTTGTGTATTTACCTTTAGAAATAGTTTATTGTTTCAAAATGGTAAATGTACAGAATATCGGCAAGTTATCGGCTATCGGCCTGAAAGTTCACAGATTATCGGTATCGGCTCTAAAAAAAAAATTAAAAAAAATAAATATCGGTCGATCCCTAGTATCAGGATTAACTTTTTTTTTTTTTTTTTTTAACTAGCAAGGGGAGGATATATGTGGACAAAGTCCTATGACCATTCATAGAGAAGCTGCCATCATATTTGAGGGACACTAAGGATACCCTCAAATGTCTGTCATCTTTATAGGTACCGAGAGGTGTTAGACTCTGCAGTCTGGATGTGGAGGCCTTATATTAATTTATTCCCCATTCCATTGGTATTGATCATGTGAGAGAGTTCTTGGAGACTAGATGACCTGAACATCAGTGTCATACGACCTTTGTTCTTGATCTCTTACATTTCATTTTGACCCATAATTTTTTTTCTCTTTAATATCAAGTTCTACTACCAGGTGCAGGAAAGGGCGATGGGGACATCTTGTGCCCCGTCCTATGCCAATCTGCACCTGGGATGGTGGGAAGAGAAAAAAGTCTCCCCTGAAACCCTAAAACAACATACAGGTCACATCTTTCTATGGAGGAACTATATAGATGACGTCCTCATTGTCTGGACGGGCCCGCGGGGAACTCTTCACCCAATTTGTAGAAATACTAAATGTGAATGACCTTAATATCAGATTTACTATGGAGGTAGGGGCTCCATCACTTAATTTTCTGGAATGTACACTCTCAATAACGGATGAGCTTGAAATCAATCAACACCACTCTTTTTATTGCAAACCAACCGCAACAAATTCTATGCTCAGATGGGAAAGTTATCATCCTACTCCCCCGAAGAGAGGCATCCCAGTAGGACAGTATTTGAGGCTCACAAGAAACTGCTCCTCTATGGATGATGTTAGGCAAAAGACCAAGCAACTCAGACAGAGTTTTAAGAAAGGGGGTACCCCAACATATGTTTAAAACAGGCCTATCAGAGAGCACTACTCTGTGATCGTGAAACGCTGTTAGGGGATGTACCTAAACCTGATGCCCCCAAACAGATTAGATGTATATTAATTTTGATTCTGGTTGGGATGCTGCCAAAAGAACTTTGGAAAGGTTCTGGCCGCTCCTGACACAGGATCCACATTTGGCAAAAGTTGTCCCACCAAGGGTGTCTCTCACGGCCAGAAGGGGTTAAAAACCTAAAAGAGATGCAGGTACCAAGTAACTTTTCATAACCCAGTATAAAAAGAAACTGGATCACAGTACATGACACATACCTGTGCGGCCGCTGTGTAGCATGTCGCTACATGGCGAAGGGATCTAAAATACTAAAAGATTCACCGGGCATTGTAAATATCCCAATTAATTAGTTTTTTAACTGTAATACCTCTGGTGCTGTCTATATCCTGACATGTGAATGCAGCCTCAAATATGTAGGTAAAATGCCCCCTGAAAAGAAGGGTAATGGAAGATGTTCACTCTGTGACAACCTACAAAGACACCCCTGTCTCTAGACATGTCAGATTACACCACAATGAGTCACCCAGAGGTATGAACTTCGCTGGCATTGAAAAAAATCCAATTGGGAAATAGAGGTGGTGACTTGGATCAAACTCTGAAGAAGAGAGAATGCTTCTGGATCTATAAGTTGGATACCTTGGCCCCCAAAAGGGTTAAATGAGGGTTTCACATTTACCCCATATGACACATAAGAGCATTACTGTATTAATTTTGTAAATAATTCTATTATTCATGTATGTTTATTATGGGCACAGAAGTTTCTTTTTTCTTTATTATTTTAGTTGTTATTATTGCCATTTTTTTTTCTCTACATCATTATCCAAGTATTGCCATTATAATAATCCAAGTGATCTGTGATTTTGTTGTGGAACAGAATGGGTCATTTTAATGATTACACAGTATATCATATCACATTACAACCGTGTTCATGCTTTAGACAAATATGCATAGGGGTGGTTACATTATATCTATTTACAAAATGATAGACAATAGCTGTTAGTCATTCTCTCTGATTCGCAGCAAGTCCAGCTCAGCCTTTCATTCTTCTAAATAATAAAAGAAAAGGAAGAAAAGGAAGGAAAGGAAGAGTACAATTAAGTTGTGTAATATTATCATATATTGTTAGTTAAATTCACAACTCGATCTTATTTTGTGACTTTGTTATCACCACGGTTTTATTAAGTTTAATATTCTCATGACTGTATAATAATTAATAATAATAACAAAGTATTTAACCAGGAAGGGCACATTCAGATTACTCTGATTTTCAAGTTGTCATGGGGATGTTAACTTAGCCCAACATCCAGGGGTTGTTACTATTACCCAATTTAATGGTACTTTATTGACCTCGGAAGGATGAAGGGTTGAGTAAACCCTCAATGATTTCTAATTTTTTTATTTTTTTATTTATATAAAGATATAATAACATGAAGTAGCAGACAATGTCCATAAATTCTTACGACATGAGAATTACAAGCAGGAGTATGTTCTATAACACACCATACTCTTCCCGGGTTTCAGCATATCATGAGATTCAAATAAAACATAGATTAACATGACATATCAACAGGTATATCAACAAGTTTGAACAAAAAGTTAGATTGATACAGCACTGACTCAAAAACAGCAGCAAACACTGCTACTTGGAAACCCTATCATTCCAAGAGCATGAAACAGGCAGAAAGACGAACAATACAGGTTGCGCCGACCAACTGAATATTTTCCTTACTTATAAATAATAAAAATGTAAGTAGTGATAACTTGGCTATAAGTCCACAGAGAGACTTTTTTTTTTTTTTTTTTTTTTTTTAACGTCAAAAAAGAGTTCTTAACAATGATGGTAGTTGCAACAGGTAATCCAATGTATTATTCAATAAGGCCCTCTGGGCCCCGGGCTTTCCCTGTTTGTGATCGCTTTAATGTCCATTCTAGTTCTTTGAGAGTAATAGGATCTTTCAATGCTCCCGATTGTTCAATGGTTAGTTTGTGAGTGACATATGTTTCAAAGAAGATTCCGAGGCGTATGGCCATGGTTATCTCGCCCTGAACCACATGCCCCAGTTATGGGTAAATCTTATATAAATTTTTATAGTAAGCTTTGAATTTGGTGGCAGTCTCCTCTGGCAACTGTGTAGTGGAGGTGTGGTGGATTGCTTTTGAACCAGCAGATCATTAAGTTGTCTGAGCTTCAATAGGTCCCTGGAATGGTCCTATCTGTTTCAGGTCTAATCTTTTGCAGGAGTTCCCGGACCGCTGCTCTGACCACTTCTTTCATATAGTGGCCTCAGATGAAGCCTTTGGGTTTCCTGGGTTTTCTCTGAAGTAATGTTGCAAAACTGCAAGAACCTGAGCTTAATATTGCTGGTCTCGGAGAAGATTCTCATTCAGCCTCCAATGATGTTCTGCCGGATGATACAGAGGTGCATGTAGATCCATCTCTACCAGGGGGCTGCAACAATCCATGTCTGCCCCCATTAGATTGGAGAGATTTTACAAGGGCCACAAGTCTATCGTAATGTAGGACTGGTGGACCTGCGAAAAGAATCTGTGCCCTTTGGATGTTTAGCTCATTAGCAGTCTATGAGCCCCAGTCTATTTAGCATATATCTGAGAGTGTGTAAGTGTTTCACAAAGCTGGAGCATTGACTTCTCGTGGTATCCAGTGATGGCTGAAGAGAAATGTTTGTATCCCTACCCATGACCAGGGTTCCCTCCTGGGAAACCTCCAGCTTGACAGTCTAATGCATATATTGAAGTGAAGGTGTATAGCTGTGAAACTATTGTACACATGACCCTTCTGGGTCCAATTTTTAATCTAAGTGCATTAAAGGAATATACCTAGCGACCACGATAGCTACTCCTGCTGCCTTAGCAGTAGTATTATGTGAGAAGAAGTACGTCATGACGTTGGGTGTGAATCCTCGCGAAAATGTGTCTCTTGATTTAAATGCCACAGAGATCCTCCTGGGCCACAGATCTGCAGAAGCCTGGTATATTTAAGCCCCTGACAATGTATGAGCAAAATCTTAATGATTTTGGTAAATAGGTCCTAGGAGCCGCATCCATCCTCTGAAATTTACGGAGAGAGGAAGAATAAGAAGAGAATGTGTGCAAGGAAAAGGAGTGTAGAAGGAGAGAAGAGTCTTGTAATGTCCTACAGACTTCCAACTGCATATTATTTTCTGATGATCTTTGCCTTAAAGGGACACTCAATGCACCCAGACCACTTCTGCCCATTGGATTAGTCTGGGTGCCAACTCCCATCACCCTTAACCCTGCAAGTGTAATTATTACAGTTTTTATAAACTGCAATAATTACCTTGCAGGGTTAAGTCCTCCTCTAGTGGCTGTTTATCAGACAGCCACTACAGGGACTTCCGGGTTCTTAAAACACGAAAAGTGTTTTAAATGACGCTGGACTTCCTCACACTATGCATGAGGACCTCATAATCCCCATAGGAGGTCCCACATGGGGAGGTCTAATGCGCGCACGCCCATTGCCGCGCATGCGCATTAGGTATCCCCCGCCAGCTGACGTCAACAGTGGAGCAGCGTGGGCGGATCCTGACCCAGCGTCAAGGGACATCGGTGCTGGATTCAGGTATGCCACTGAATGAGGTTTTAACCCCTTCAGCAACATGGGATGGGGGTGGGAGGAAGTGGGGCACTGTAGAAACTTGCAGTGCCAGAAAAATGAATATGTCTTCCTGGAACTGGAGAGTCCCTTTAAGCCCAACAGTTCTCTGGACTATTAAACTTGTTACTGTTATGTCTACCATTACATTTTCTTGATTAGAGAACTAACCTATATTTTGTGAGCTGGATTCACCACCTTCACTGTAATCCATTTTCATGTGTGTGGGTGGTATGCACACAGCATGCACACATGGACACAATTGGCATTAAGTAGCCAAAACAAAGCATGCTGGCTGTCTGACAACTCTGAGAGGGATAACCTTAGATCTGCAGTGATGCAGAGCTGGAAATAGGCTTGGGGTGCTCTATGCATTATCACCTTTGCAATAATACCTAGTAATGATTGTGCATGGGAGGCAAGTGATGAGGTATGTAATATTTAAAAAATTTGTTATTCAAATTCCCATTTTGTGGTATTTATTTTTTCGTTTTAGGTGAGCAAGGTATAGATTCCGCCACTGAGGAGGAATACGATGCACATATGACCAGGTCTGGGGCAGATACAGCCAGTCAGTAAGTATGCAAATGTACTTAGTTATAATTTGTTAGGTAAGGTATTCAAGTAAAGGAGTGGAGCTATGGCCCTCCAGGCATTGACGGCCTACAGTTTGTTTTCTTCTCACTACTCAAACGGTCTCTTGCATATGTAGTATCCATGAATCTCCCAAATCCACCTGCCCTATCCCTAAAACAGTCAGTAATTTATATTACCTTTCTATTGTAATTTTAGTTTTCTATAACATTCTGTTTCGAACTTCCAAATCCTTCCTCACTTCCTGTTACGAATACATATCATGAGAAAACACTGTAATGGTGGTGTAAATAGGAATTACCTGAGATATTGATACAGTTTTCATTGTATATTAAGTCTATATAATGATGTCTTAATAAGTATCAGGAGCGTTATAGCAAGCATAGTTGCTATCTGTCCTTTTTTTGCTAGGGAACTCCCACGGTTTAGGTTCCTGCCCTGGTATCTGTTTCACATTCTGAAAACAGCCGTAAAGTGTATTTTGTGATTTAATTGTACCAGTTGCCAAAAGTGTGTGTTTGTGGGGAAATGAACTCCAGAGATTTAGCTCTGGCTAATTCCGCTGTAGCCAACTTACTTGATTCTCTGTTGCAAAATGTAGTTTTTTTTTTGTTTTTTGTTTTTTTTATGTTGGCAGCTCTGAAAGTGGCATGGTACACTGTAGTTAATTACTATTGTCACTTTTAAGTGTATTTCCAGGTAATTTGTGGATACAAAAGATGTTCAGGAGGCTTTGCTAAAAGCCAGCAGAAACTGATAATCACTGTATTAATCATATTTTGAAACTAATAAAGTGTGAAAATGTTGCATAACGGCTATAGTCTTGAAACAAGGAACTATAAATTCTTCAGACCCTGCTTATTTCTAACCTTTTCCACCATGAATAAAATGTTTTTTTTATTCTAATAACTTTTTTTTTTTTTTAATGTGCTTTAAGTTTCATATCAATACACTGCATATGAACTGCTCCATAAATATTTACAGCTATGCTACATTTAGTGCATAAATGCTGAGTTAGGCGAAAGTACCTTAAATATGACTTTTATTCTGCTGTCTTGACTATTGAAAGCAGTGAAATTGTATGTGCTGTGAGGATGCATTGAAATTGTATATACTTGTGTTAAATTTCAAGAATTGTTCTTATTATTTGTGAAAGGAGAGGAAAACATCTTGCTGCACTTCTCAATACAGTCCCTAGATGTCTCTGTAGAACTTCTTTATTAAATACCTTTCTTTATTGTGCAATTCTATAAATTATATGCCTCCTGCAAGCTTTAAAGGATGGAATGGTAGTTGAAAATAACACTCCAGGGACCTGAAAAGCAGATGGTCATGCTCCTCTGTTCCATCTCCGTTTGTGTGCAAGTAATGGCATCTTGTGTGGGTTATTGCCTTGTAATAGAAATGATAGTTCTTGTAATGGTGTCCATAAATAGGGTGTATAGCAGTGTCCCTGCCTCCAGTGTTTTCAATGAAGATGCAGTGAATAAACCCACATGTGCTTTTAGCACCACATATTGAACATCCTTCTCTGCATGGTAAAAGTAAAATCCCTTTTCCGACTTCTTTACTAATGACACTGTTGGCAGATATGTTGTTTTAATGTCTGTCACTTTCCCCCATACATTGACTGCTTGCAGTATGATGTTCTAGCAAGGCATGTTGGCTATTATTTAATGTGTGCATTGTTCCTAATCTATAATTTTATCAACTTAATTTAGAAACAAATTGAATTACTACTTCTTTAAGGAGCATCCGAGGGATATGCTGTTTTAAATTTTCTTGTGTGCTGGATAAATGAATAGCTTGGCAAATTGAGACTTGATAAAAGTTAGAATTATATTCTGTATTCACCCATTGCATGCACTTTTCCATGTTCTAAGCATACACGTTTATTTTTACAGGGTGGAATATTTTAGTTTGTCTTTCAAAGAATTCTTTGTTAAACGCGGCTGAGCATGAGAACTTCTCTTGCACTTAGAATGGCTATTCCTACGAAGTCTTTATCAAAAACAAATTAAAAAAAAAAAAATTGTTTCAGAATTCATTTATGAAAGAGTGTTGCTGAAATTGAGGAATAGTAACAACCCCTGGATGTGGGGCTAAAGTAACATCCCCAGAACGTACTTGAAAACCAGAGAAATTTGAATGTGCCTTTCCTGGTTACATACTTTGTTGTTGTTCTTATTATTTCAGTGACTTGTGGGGCACAACCTCCATGGTTGTTCAACTCTTATTTAGCTCTTTTTATGTTGGCCCTAACCATTTAGCCCTCCCAAGGTCGATTAACAAAATGATAAAAGATCAATCATGTGCCAGTCATATGAGCAGTTGTTAAGGTGGTTGCATTCCCTTCCAGATAGATAAGGGTGCTCTCTAAATATTGGTAATGGAATATTACTATATTTAAATGTGAAATAGTCTGCTTCCCCTTCAGCCCCGTCCTTGGTAGAACGCAGCAGTGCCCCCAGGCTCACAGTGTAGGATAACACTCAGGTAAGTTATCGATCAGCTAGCCTGGAGTCTCCTGACGTAGATACACAGAAAAATTGGCATGGAAGCTACAAGCTACAGGTATAATACCCCAAATTCAGCAAGAGAGTCAGGAGCTCAGGCGTTTCCACGTCTGGTTAGATCGCAGGTCTCCACCCCATGTAATATAATTTTTGAGTAGTTTAACACCCCCACAACCCATCTGACTTTGAATGCGTTTAATTACATTCATATTTAGATTGCAATGATTGGATGAAAGTGTCCACAGTCAGCCAATGAATGCCATATGAAGTTGAAGAGGTTTTCAATAACAATATGCTGAGTGAGAGGGCAGGCTGTGTGTGCCCATGTCACTATCTGCTTGAAACTGGTTTGACACAGAACCATGGGAGAATGCCAGGTACAGTATAAGCGCCATAAACATGGAAAAAAGCCATATCACCCGTTTACCACATCGTACTGTGTTCGTTACAGAACCCCTAATTTAGTTTCTGCATCAATCTGATGTACGAACACTCATACAAGTGGTCATTTTCACGTTCTTTACTTGGTAATAAAAATATATACCGTATTGTTGCTCTTGATATTTGCTGTATCTTTCCAGCACTAGATCCTCCTATAGGCTGATTACCCTGTAATATTCCACCTTCAATGGTGCACTTTGCCATTGTACTATAGTCCCAATGTCAGAGGTTTTTTTTTTTTTTTTTTTAACCCGTTGACTGCAACATAATGTAAAGCTGTCTTTGCATTGTCATCAAATCATGGAATTCTGAAAATAAAATGCTTTTCATTTGTCTGCGCTACATTACATCTTGTACTGTTTTATAACGTGGGAAAGTGTCATTATTTACCAGCGATCCATTTCACAATTCCATGATATTCAGATATAGAAATGTAATTTCTCTGCACCCTTCATATAAGCATGTTTAACTGTAAGCTCATTCAGACCGTGTCATGTTTTACTTATGCTCATTTTACATACCTTCCAAAATTTCAAAGAACACTTTGATTTTATTGGTGCATGTAGGGGGGAGGGGGGTGTCCAGAGACAGAGCTGTTCTATTTTATTTCCCTAGAATGGCTTCCATATGGGCATCTTAATTTAAGGAGAACTGTTATTTCTTTGTAAATTGCACCGTAGAATTAAACATCGAAAATGACCTGTAACTTTTTTTTTTATTTTTATATTTAGCAAGTTACATCACAATTCAGTTTAAACCAACAACAGTCAAGGCAGACATTGCAAAAGAGGAGGAGAAATAGAAATGTTGAGTGAGATGTGTTCAGGTATAAAAAAAAAAAAAAAGTGGTATAAAGTAATAAGCGTGTCAATTACCAAGGGTACCATTTGAGCCATCAGGGAAAGTCCTTTGGTGACTCATCTCATTTTGCAAATTTGAGAAGTTATTTAATTCAATGTTTTCTTTTTAAGACAGAACACTTTGACAATTCTCTCCCTGTTTCATTTCTCCTCGTCTGTGCTTAATGCTGACTACTGCAAAGGACAGAGTTTATAACAAATGAATGGAAGCTAAAATGGAGGTAGAGAGAATGAAAAGCTGTAGATTTATACATTTAATTAAATGTTTTACACATCACAAATACATATCTTTTCAATATTGGAGATACGTTAAAATAATAAAAATTAAAAGTGACAGTTCCCCGTTTAAGTCACCGTAATCTTCTTTTGTCTTGCAGAAACGATAATGCTGTAGATTCCACTTCTTCAGTGAAAGATAATGCTGGGTTTGAGGATGCAGATTCAAAAACTGGTAAGCAAAGACTTGTAAATGCAATTAAATTAATCCTCCAGCCTCAGAAAAGGAAGAATGTGTTCAGCTACATGATGGTGAATAATGCAGATATTCTATACAAATCAAGCAGCTCAACTTACATTTAATTTTAGCTCAATTTCCTTATATAACTGCACATTTACTTGTCACATCTGAGTAGGATAGTTGTTCCTATAATACTTAAAAGGACACTAGTCACCAAAACAACTTTAGCTTCATGAAGCAGTTTTGGTGTATAGAACATGCAGCCTCACTGTTCAGTTCTCTGCCATTTAGGATTTAAATCACTTTGTTTATGAACCATAATCACACCTCCCTGTATGTGACTTGCACAGCCTTCCTAAACTCTTCCTGTAAAGAGTCATCTACAGTTTATCCTTTCTTTATTGCATGGTCTGTTTAATTTAGATTGTCTTATCCCCTGCTATGTTAATAGCTTGCTAGACCTTGTAAGAGCCTCCTGTATGTGATTAAAGTTAAATTTAAAGAGAAAGAGATACAATTGTTTAAAGTAAATTACATCTGATTTTTTTTTTTTTTTTTTTTCGTGCAGGCTGTGTCAATCACAGCCAGGGGACGTGTGACAAGGGCTGCATAAACAGAAAGAAAGTGATTTAACTCCTAAATGGCAGTGAATTGAGCAGTAAAACCCAAATGGCATGATCTATACACTAAAACTGCTTCATTAAGCTAAAGTTGTTTAGGTGACAATAGTGTTCCTTTAACTGGTGACATGCAAACCCTAGCATCACTTTTTAGGTTTTGCTTTTAAATTAACCGATTTTGTCCCTCTCTGTTTTTATTTTTTTTAAATTCACTTTGGGGTTTTTAGTTATACATAATAAAAAGTAGTTGTGGTTTGTTTTTTGTTTTTTCTCATGGGGAGTACGATCGTTGGCAAATGTTGACAATGGTCTGGGCTTAAGGCAAGTTAAATTTCAGTTGCTAAGCTAATTTATCCACAAGCCATCAGTCAAAGGAATTCCACAGAAGGAACAACAGCAGACATCATGGACAGAGGAAAACAAAATGGAGCCACCTGGGTATTAAGATCCGGCGCAAGGATGAAAAGATAATTAATATAAATAAAACAAGTGGCAAAGAGTGGTGTATAATCATCAATATACAAGGGACATAATTTATGGAAAAGAAAGCATGACAAAGCTTTAATTCTGTGTAAATTTAGACATTTTCAGTTCTTTTGTTTCTAGTGCAGATTAATCTACACACTAAGACCAACTAGTTTTGTGCAGACAGCATAAATGGAATGCATGTGTCAGGGAATGTTGCTTCACCAAGATGTTTGCTCCCAACATACAAAAAAATTGAGAACCCAGGGAAAAATAAAACTAAACAAGCATACATTAACCTGTATGTGCTAAAATTATAAAATTTTACATATAATACATTATTTGATCTCGGTATATTATGATGAGATTATTGAATTGATTGGTGTTGCCAAGTTTTGGACTGAAGTTGCTCTATCATTTGACTTTGTGTTATCATTTGACTTTGGTTTGGTCTATTTTTGTTTTGGAGAGCCTTATGGCCAACTTACAGCACACATTACAATTTATCAGTAGAATGTGGAGTAATTTGTTACATTATTTTTCCATCCATTTAGCTGATCAGTTTCAGTTGAGGTTTTGTCCCAGCAAATAATTTTGGATTCTGTTAATGAGGATATTGTAGTGAATGGTGAGTACTGCAATTCTGGTGTTTTCACCGTGTTTTTGTATCCCTATTTGTCCATTTAAGTTTTTTTGTTATCGTTACTTATAAAATTTAAAGAGACATATTAAGTTCTAGAATAAGCATAGGCAACCTTCGGCACTCCAGATGTTTTGCACTACATCTCATTGGATGCTTTGCCAGCATTATGCGTGTTAAGAGCATTATGGGAGATGTAGTACAAAACATCTGGAGTGCCGAAGGTTGCCCTGTTCTAGAACAACTTAAATAAGTAGTTTTGTTGTATTGACCATATTCTTGAAGCATCATTGCTCCGTTCTCTCCTGTTTAGGAGTCAAATCACTTTGTTTAAAAAGACACTCTTCTGGCTGTGAATAACATGGTATCCCTATACACACACTTTCGTTAAAACAAGTCTTATTTTTAAACGTTTACAGCATGCAGTGCTCCATGTGTGTGATTAAAATTTAACAGACCAGTTGATAAAAACTTCTGAAATAAACAAACTGTGCTGCACAAATAAAACAATTAAAAAAAATATTTCTGGAGACAAAAATTTGCAGAACTTGCCACTGCCTGCAACATCGGCGGGGGGAGGGTGGCGTGCTATGAAGTTGTAAATTGCACCAATGACTCCATGCATTTCCTCACTAAATGGGCCCCTGGTTTAGACACAGAATAATGGTAAGTATACACTACCCAACTTGCATTTCTGGTCTCTTAAACATTTGTGTAAACCCATTTTAATTAAATGTAAGTTGTTGTTTTTTTTTTGCCTAGTTCTCAATATGTGTAGATGATTCGGAGTCTGTGATGTGCAAAGGCATTTTCTAATTTTTTTTTTAGAATGAAACCTTGACTATGAAGGATTTTGTTTACAAACACATGTAACTTATGATTAGCTTGCGGGATACTTGCAAGTACAATTGTGGATGCTGATTTTCCAAGGTTATAAAAAGTCATCCTGATTTATGGGCTAATAATTATACAGTGCCTGCGTTTAATATTATGTTTACCTGGATAATATTGATGAGCAGCAGAAAAGGGCGGAATAATTATTCAAATGTATGAAAGTGTATCTAAATAATCTCTCCGCTTCTGATTTTGTGAGTTTATGCAAAACAACAAGAATGTGCTATGGGTATTAATTTAGACATCATATCGTAACTAGTCTTAATGGCATTCTGAAATAAAAAAAGAAAACACTACAGCGTTCAAAAATCTAATATTTTGAGCAATTTTCCAATGCCATTTTGTTTTAATTTTATTGCAACACTTCTTTTTGATGATATTACTTTACAACCTTTAAACATAGTCTATCTCTTGGCAATATACTGTAAAAACACCCAACACTTTGTTTCATCTGCTATAATCAGGGCTTCTTGTGAACTCTTGGATCCCGGTATAAACTCTTATTCCAGAATTCCAAAAATGTGATGACCGTTGTCCTTTAAGTATCTTAACAACAAATGCTCACACAACTGCGAGTGAAGCTGTGAATAGGCAGATAGCCGCCACAATGGCTGCTATTAGCTTATTTAGCTGCTGGGTGAGAGTATGGCAGGTAGCTGAACTACACATCCTATAAAAACCATGCTTGAAAGATGTTTAGTAATTTCATGTATAATGCACTAATATAAAGGGGCCCATTACGGCCATTCAGTGGATCTTTTAAAGTTTTAAGCAATGTTCTTAATGCCAGAGTTGAAAACATAATGTGATGATGATGCAAAACCAATTTTTTTTTCATGAACTGTCCCTTTTAGATTTCAGCACATGGTGGCAGCTGTGCACCATGTCCAATTAAACTCTGATGTGCAGATGTTTGTAGGATATGTAAAGTGCTGCCATTGGAAAGCCATGAGAAAATAAAGATTGGTTGCTGGTTTCTGAATATTTTTGATAATACATTATCTAAAGAAAAAAAGGCAAGGCATAAAAACGGTGGAGACCACTATATTCACATATAATTCTTAAATATATATATATATATGTATATATATATATATATATATATATATATTTTTTTTTTTATATGGATATTTGTATCAGTTGTTAAAGTTTCCATAATTGCTTCAAGCAGTGTCCTAAAACCAGTACTAACAACTAAGCACCATAACCACTACATTGTAGTGTTACGGATACCAGGACTCCAGGGGTGCCATCTGCCTGTAATCTGTGATTTTGTGAACGGTTTGGCACTTACCTAGTTGGTCTGATTACCTGGTATAAGTGCAGAAGCATGAATTTCCATTTTACCAGATTAGCTGAGTATGGAAGGGTCACAGGCAGACAACACAACAAGGTTAGTGTCTTAAACAGTTTGACAAATTACCAGAGGATGTTGTATGGGGACTATTGGCCCCATATACACATGAGCATGTTGTAGTGGTTATGGCACTTGGAGTCTCTCTTAACAGTGACAAAATATGATCTATTACAGCTCTCACAATATGTTTACTTACAATTACATCATGTAGGGATTCTTAGTTTTGTGTGCCTGTAATTGGTGAGCTACTGTAAATACATTCCAGGTATTTTATGTTGACATTTATATATACACCAGTAATTCATTTTCTTTCAATTCCTCAATCTTGGTTAAAATTATATATCCCCAGTGATTATTTCACTTTTCTGCTGCTTTTGGAAAAATGGTACGGTCACATAGGTTAGGTACTATCCTATTTTTTGTTTTTTCCCCACAGCCATTTATCTGTTTCACTACCAATTTTGAAACCTGAAAAAATATTAAAACACTGACTGGGTTATTCACTAAAGTGAGAATGCAAAGTAAATTTTTAAATTTAAAGGAACATTAAAATGTCAGAGATACAAACATGTATTCCTGACACTATAGCTCTAAGATTGCTGTTTAGCTGCCTGGGCCCCTTGCCTTACAAACATATATTCCTGACACTACAGCTCTTAGATTGCTGTTTAGCTGCCTGGGCCCCTTGCCTTACAAACATATATTCCTGACACTACAGCTCTTAGATTGCTGTTTAGCTGCCTGGGCCCCTTGCCTTACAAACATGTATTCCTGACACTATAGCTCTAAGATTGCTGTTTAGCTGCCTGGGCCCCTTGCCTTACAAACATATATTCCTGACACTACAGCTCTTAGATTGCTGTTTAGCTGCCTGGGCCCCTTGCCTTAAGTTAAGGTTACTTATCTTTTTCCAGCATTGCGCAAATCTCTCCAGGGCTGGCTCTGCCCCCTTGGCTTCCCCAATCAGCATCTCTTCCTAGAGGTGGATCCCCAACTCTGATGCTCGCCTTCAAGACTTCTCCAGGGCTGCCCCTATTCTGTGGGACTCCCTTCCCTCCTCAATCAGACTTTCACCCAGTCTCCACTCCTTTAAAAAAATCTTTAAAAACTCACTTCTTCATTAAAGCGTATCAATTAAACTGTCAGCAGGTTTCTCATCCCCCACCCCGTGACTCCGTTCCTGCAATTGTCAAAAATGACCTACCAAGCACTCAATAAACCCTTCTCTAACAAACTATATGTAATTCCCCTACTTTAACCCTTTGTGTCACTGTACCCCACTCCCTCTAGCATGTAAGCTCATCGAGCAGGGCCCTCAAACCCCTCTGTTCCTGTACATCCAGTGGTCTGATCTCCATTATGTGTCTGTTAGTCCACCCATTGTACAGCGCTACGGAATTTGTTGGCGCTTTATAAATAATAAAATAATAATAATAATAACAACCAAGGCATCTCTATGGGGAGTATGCAGTGTCTCCATGCAGAGCGTGTGCCGCACTGACCAAGGAAGCACCTCTAGTGGCCGTCTGAGTGACTGCCACTGGAGATGTTTCTAGGCAATTGTGTAAAGTGTTTATATTAAAAAGCTTGCTGGGTCAGGCACTAGATACCAGAAAAGCTACATTAAGCTGACTATAGTGTCCCTTTAAGGTCCATATAGCCTAACTGGAAAACCTCTCTAAGTGAGCTTTATTTTTATTTCAGCTCATCTGGCCTTGAATTTGAATTTCACTTAAAAACAAAAGTGAAAAACTAACATAAAAAAAAAAAGGATTTTTGATCAGCTTCTATAGTTACTTTATGGTAAATTTGTCAATTTAGGACAGTGACACATATTGATGAAATATGATATTACAAATGATGAAAAGGATTTATCCATCATTAATATTTTGCATAGTTTTATTATATGCAGTGTTCTTTACAGAAAGCCTTGTTGTCTATAATTACATGGTTATAATATTGATTAGTCTAATTTTGAGACCCACACATATGATGTCAAGGCATCATGCTGCACATTTGAATGATTTGCAATTCCAGCCCTGTTTTCTACAGTATATTTGTTGTTCACTGGAATTTGACTTTTCTTTAATCTTTTTATCTACCAGGTAGAGGAGAAGACTGTGATGCCATTAGCATAAATGCTGATACTTTTGACAGTGACATTGAGGAGGTGTGCCCTGAAGAACGAGGTCAGGCAACACCTGCCGTAGTAGTCCCAAAAGCAGCTGGTCAGCCAGATGACCTTGTCATGGACATTGAGAAAAGTGTGAATGAAATCCTGGGGTTGGCTGAGCCAGTAGCAGAAGAGGTTCAGGTTCCCTCGACAACTGTGCTTGCAGAGGATGTGCAGCCGTCTGCACAACAGCTAGAACTGTTAGAGCTAGAAATGAGGGCTCGAGCCATTAAAGCTCTGATGAAGGCTGGCGATGTCAAGAAGTTGTGAAACTATGATGTCTTCTTGCTTCAATCGCCTTACTTGACAAGAAGTTTGTGCACTATAGCAAAAATACTATTCGTTTCAGTAGGGATCGCTGTGAATATATTATTATTGTGTGCCTTTTTAGTCACTGTTTGAAATTTCTATCAATGCACAATAATGACCATATTGTTATAACTGGTAGTGATGGTGGTGGGTGACACTGCCCTAATAAAGAAAGTTATTTTGTTTTTACACAATCTTGTTTCTTTTTTTTTTTTTTTTTATATCCTGAATAGGGCAATCCCTCATAAAGGTAACCAGTTAGGTAAGTTATCTACTAAACAGAAAAATTTAAATAGATGGTACTACCTAGTTAGGCAACCCAACTTGGAGTACCGAAAAATGGGTGAATGAGGTGGCAAAAGGGCATAACCCTATAGTAGATACAAAAGAAGAAATAACAGAATGGAGGATTGATCGCCTCGTGAGGGAACCGGGCTGATCACCTCCAAGCCACCCCAAAATGACGTCTCAAAAATAATAAACAATTTTATTAGGAAAAACCTTGTTAAAATCAAAAAAGAGAGAACACACCTATCAGTAAATAAATAAAGTAAATAACTAGAGCCCAATGTTTACAGAATATGGCTAATATATATATGTATATAGTGTAACAAATACTTATTGATAAAGTATTAGATAATAATACATATATAAGTATATAGGAACCATAGACCGTGCAATTTAAGCCCAATGCAGAATATAGAGTATGGCTAAATAGTAAATACAAATACTGTAATAAACTCTTGTACAATGAAGTAAAAGGTAAATATAATAGTAGATATAAAGAGCCATAAAACCTGCACTTAGAATCTAATAGCTGCAGAGTGTAGCTGGATAGACCATATATAGATGTAGCAAATTCATTATGGAGTGAAACAATAAGTAACAATGTATGCCACAGTAATAGCCAAAAACTCTGCTCCTATACCTACAGGGTTAAGTTATAAATGGAAATCGAAAGGATAGAGGAGGGCATAAATAAGAGAAGAAAAAATAGAGCAAAAAGACCGTGTTGTAGATCTACATACAGAAACTAGGTCTGAATGCCTAAACCCAATAGACAGCCCAACTATCACTATATAAGATAACCAGAGCTTAAAAATCGCTCAGTGCCACTAAACCACAATGCAGGGAACAAAGAAAAGAAAAGAAACTAAATTGACTACATAAATAGCCCAACGCGCGTTTCGGTGGATTAACAACCTTTCTCAAGGGCACAAAGTAAAATGAAGCAAACAGAACATTCCCCCTTGATCCATTTAAATATTGGTAGTACCTCCCAGTTCATCTGATTCGTCAGGATGCGTCCATACATCGGCTCCATCTCGGGGGAGGAGGGGCAGGGATAGCCGCGCGTATCACAAGTCCCAGCGCATGCGTATACATATTAACACGCAGGCGCGCGGACTTAGTGTCAAACTAAGTGGCAGGTAAAAACGCGCATGTCATAAATCCGCGCATGCGTACAACGTAAACCCAGTTTACAAAGTATCAGTTCGCACTTAGTGAACTCAGTATACAAAGTATCGGTTCATACGTATGCCGGTATAAGTGTCAAATCTCAAAGCAGGATGCTACTTAGTTTAATACACATAGTAGCATTCAATCCATGTGTAGACAAAAGATGGAAGGCTAAAACAATCCAAATATGGAATAGAAGGAGGAGGAAGTTCCAACAAATTACTAATAGATAAATCAACAAACAAAAAAACAAGAAGGAGATATTAGGTTCCCATCATATTTACAGTTAATCACACACATACATTGTAAAGAGACAAAAGAGTGGTAAAGAATACTAATAACAAATAAATAAGATAAAGGGATAGTAGGCTGAAAATAAATATATATATATATATATATATATCTCTATTCATTGTCCAATGATTTATATATATATTAGAGCAGAAACGGCAATACCCCCATCAATCTATAGTTATTGACATAATCTATATCTATATTAGATTGGTGCAGGGAAAAAAAGTGTATATACATATATATGTACACATAGAGGAACTGCGTACATATATATAGGTATATACATATATATAGGTATATTCAATAATGGCATTCTATGGGAAACAGATTATATGAAAGGGGCAAAGGAGAAACCCTCATTAAGACCTAAAGGTTGGAGTGTCTTAAGTTCATATATCCATCTTGACTCTCTCTGTCTTAATACTTTGTCGTAATCTCCACGTCTCAAAGTCCTTTTAACCAACTCCAAACCACAAAACCTAAGGTTATTGGAATCCCCCTGATGATATTCTTTGAGGTGTCTCGATATGGGTGTCTCGAGGCGATTCCTAGGGGATCTTACATGCTCCATAATCCTATCCTTAAAGGCCCTAAACGTTTTCCCCACATATTTCTGTCCACATGTCCAAGATAATAGATATACAAGGCCCTTCGTGTTGCAGTTGAAGAAGCTTTTAATTTTAAAGGAATCACGTCCCTGACTGTCATTAACAGTCTTAGAGTCCCTAAGGATAAATTTACAGGCTACGCATCTACCACAACCATATGTACCTGTTGGGGGGGTACCTAGCCAGGTGGCACGTTGTTGTGGTTTAATGGAGAAATGGCTGGGAACCAGTAAGTCACGAATATTCCGTCCACGTCTGGCTGTGATATTGACATGTGGACTTAAAGTGTCTTTAAGATGTACATCATTGAGCAGGATAGGCCAGAAACGTTCAAGTGATTTCCGAACTTCTGGCCATCCCACATCAAATGTTGCTATCATACGAATATTTCCAATGTCCTGATTAATGTCCATTTTTGGGCGATCACACAGTAGATCGCTCCTCTCAGTCTGGAGAGCTCTTTTGTAAGCCCTTTTTAAACAACGGTTCGGGTAACCTTTCTCCTATCTACTAAACAGCACCCTTGTTTTGGTATCCTCAGTTGGGCAATCCTACATAAGGGTTCAAAATAAGGTCTGAAATCTACTAAACAGTGCGCTAGTTTAGTATTCTAAGTAGGGTAATTCCCCATAAGGGTAACAAATAAGGGGCCTACTACCGAACCGCATACTAGTTTGCTATCTTAAGTAGGGCAGTCCCACATAAGGGTACCAAATTAGGGGAGCTATCTACTAAATAACACTCTAATTTGGTATCCTAAGAAGGGCAGTCTCATAGGTACAATAAAAACCAAGGAAATGCATTACTATGCATATTTAAATAACTAGAAATTTTTAGTATCACTTCAATGGCCACTTGAGTGTAAGCTCTCCTGCTATGTCAAGGCAAACCTTTTAGTCGAGTCCTATACTAGCAATTCACCTTGCTTCTTTCAGGTAAAAATAAATATATATTTTATATATATATCTCAAATACATATGTACCAAATTCAGTAGCTATCTACTAAACCGCTGAAAGACCAAGAATTAGAAAAGCCATTTTTCTTTTAGTTGCTTAGTGGATAGGTCCCTGATATAATATCCATAATTATGGTGATCCCACGTAAGGATCAATTAGGTAGCTATCTACTAAACAGGTGAATGATCCAAACTAAGAGAATAGAAAAAGGCCTTTTCTTAATTATGCTGTTTCACTAATTTGCTATCTTTATGAAAACAAACGGATCTTTAATTTTCAGATGCTACGGAATTTGGAAATTTCCACAATTCTGACAAAACTTGTTTTGCCCAAATCCGAATGCACATTTCTTGATTTATAATCTTCATTATCTAATTATTGGTGATTACCAAGTCAAACCGTGCCTTTGGCAGAACCAGTGAACCATCTGTTTTTCTTAGTTTTTAATTTTTACAGAATATAACTTGTGTTCATGGCTATAATTATTCACTCAGTTGTGTTTGTAATTACCAGTCACATACAATCGGCAGTTACCTAAAAAAGCTGTATATTTTGTGAAATGCATATACAGTGGAAAATGAGTAACTTGTATTGCATTTTAATTTGATAGCCAATTTGGTTTTGTCATGTAAAAGAGTTCTGCTCTCAACCACCGACGGGGCAGTCGCATGCTGTGATCGCTCCGTACACCACCAGGCCCAGAGCAACAATTGAGCGGATTTCTCAGCACAACGGACCCCGGTAACGAGCGGGGATCACAACACTAAGCGGCATGGCTCCCTCCAAACAGACCAAACTTACAGACCCTGCGCGCCAGGGTAAAAAAGAGAAGCCCCAGCAAATCCAAGATGGCGACGGCCACGAGGAGCTCCCACCGTCACCGGAGTACCACTCAGAGCATACCTGCGAACCGCAAGCAGCAGACGACATGCCTGTCACCAACAAAAGCCTGCAATCCATGCTAAAGTCCCTGCAGACGTCGTTCCGCTCGGATCTGCGCCAGCTCACTACTGAGCTGAGAAAAGATATTGCAGACATAGGAGGCCGCACTAGCCATCTTGAAACTAAAACTGAAGAGCTTTGTGTGGCTCATAACGACGTCGTCGATAAGATACAAAGGTTGGAGGAGGAACAAGCGGTCCTCAAACACAAACTGGCGGACATAGAAGATCGCTCCCGCCGCAATAACCTGAGATTCAGGGGCATAGCTGACTCAATCTCAAATGAAGCATTACCCCAATACCTTACGGCCCTCTGCAAAACACTAGCTCCGCAAGTCGAGGCTACCGCATGGGAGTTTGACCGCGCTCATCGCCTCCCGAGACCGTCCCGTTTCACCGCGGACACCCCCAGAGACACTATAGCTCGATTCCACTACTATAAAGCAAAGGAGCAACTTCTCAATGCAGCACGGAAGCTTTCTAAACTACCAGAACCGTATCAACACATCCAAATCTACGCTGACCTCTCTGCGACGACAATGGCAAGGAGGAGGGAATTCGTCGATGTAACAAAAACCCTCCGGAACAATAACATTCCATACCGTTGGGGCTACCCGACTAAATTGCTGGTGTGGTATCGCGAAAGAAATGTGACAATCTTGGAACCGGAGGCAGGCCTGGCGAAGCTGAAAGAATGGGGCCTACACCATGCCCAAGGACAAGCTTTCCCGGCTCGCATCTCTCCTTCGAAAATACGGCCGGAGTGGAGGATGGCTGGGGACCCTGGGGCTTCTCCCCCAAGGTACTGATCCTATCCGAGTATCCCGAGAGCTGCAGCTCACCTAGTCGCCGGACGCTTGAGTATCATATGTGTCTATAATCTGCTCAATGTTATTGCATAGTATTGCGTTATAATATGTCAGTACATAGAAAACTAGTTAGCAAAAGAAAAAAAAAAAAAGCTTATACACAAGCTAGGCCCTTACGCACGGCAAGGGCCGTTTTTTGTCGCCCAAGCCCATTCTCCCAACCTTAGCCTGGTTGACTCTGAGGCATAGATGGTAGTTCTTGACACCACGGCCCCATTCAACCATCCCCATATATGCAGGAAGTGTCATCTCAGAGCATGCGAGCCCCATTAGTCAAAACCATCGCTCTTGCAAACAGCGGTTACTAAGCCCAGTTATGTCAGTCCCTGGGTATATATTCACGAGATATCCAGGCACCCGCCTACGCCCCATATGGGCTCTAGACCCGCAGGAGGTCTGGCCCACTACTACTACCACGGCCTAATCTGACATGACTGACAGCTCTGCGCGTTCATCGAGACCACTTATGATGCTATCTCATATGTATCTGACCTCATGCTAATGTTGTTGTTTATGTTTATATATGATATATTGTTATGTTCATATTACCATGTGACACACAAGTGATTCCAGGAACGGGCAGGCGGGGTGTGCTACCCACGTCAGTCCGGGGCTCACCAGGTACACCCTAGTAATACCACTAGCGACCCAAGCTCCCGCGACTTAAGGTTAGTCATTTTGCCGGGTACTCAGCCCTTCTCCCACTGTACACAACTCCTTATCAAAAGCCGTCTGAACGAAACAGACAGCACAGAGATAACAGGTAATTCTCCCCATGCTCGGAAAAGCGGTAACAGACACCAAGGGCCAGTCCATGGTGGCAGATACCCCATGTACCCCACGCCGGATGTTAGTGTGGCCCCCCACCACACGATTCCGGACCTACGCTCTGCTGGAAGCAGAGGCA